TGCAGGTACTGGACCCCGGTTTTCGATCGCCAGGGGATGTCCATCGAACCATCCGGATGGATCACTTGTGAGCCAAAGTCGCCCCAAGGAAGACAGGTCAGTCGGACAAAAATGAGTCGGACTTTTCGAATGGCGAAGGTCAATCACAGGGCTGAGCCCCTTGGAAAGCTTGCGCATCAGATGGGGTGAACTGACCTCAGGCTCCGTGCCGCGTGGCGGGCTTCCCAAATCTTATCCTGCACATGCGGCGCACATGAGCGCCTTTGTGCTGAGGAAAGAAGTTTGACTGCGCAACGATATTGTATGTAAGGTTGTATATATATATATATATATACACCCTTAGATTCATCTATCAGCTCATGACATGCAGCAATGCCCAGTCTCACTTACCGTTGGATTGACTCCGCGCTGGTTGATAGGCGGTATGTGTTTTGTAGTTTACGCCATGCAAATCTCATCTTTTGCACGTTTCCACAAGGAACACCAAGCTAACTATGAGGGCTCCCTAAATTTGCGAGACCTCGATTGGGGTAGGAATGTTAATCAGGGGCCCTTTAAACATGGAATTGAGGTCCACCACATGTGTGAGGCGTCCCTTCAAGATTCACGATTTGTCTTCCAGTGACTTCTCTTGCCAGGGTTGAGCAAAATTGATGCAAGCATCCAGACCCTGGTGTCTCCTTGTGACAAGGGGGGTTCACCTGTGGGAAGGTACCTGGAGCATCACTTTCCTCTCAAAGCAACCCCTTGTCAGGTGCCATGTTGGGGTGGGAGGGTACCCTTAACTCTGGGGTTCAATCCAATAAGAAACGGGGGTTCATATTTCACCACCATTGTTTGCCGAAGGATTGTTATCTAAATTGGGTCCTTGCCATTCGTTAAATGGGGGCAAAGACCCCCAGGGCAGGGTTGTGGGATCACTCAGAGTTTATCCCCACTCTGATACAAGGGAATATCCTCTGTATATGGGGGGTGAGTCTTTGGGAAGCCCGAGAACTGAGCCTGGCCGGCATCTGGAGACAAATCCATATTGCCCTACGTCTCAACCGGTCCTTTCAGCCTAGGCTGGAGAGAGGCCAGCAGCCCCCACGCCTCTTCGAGGACACGCCGGATTTTTCGAAATTTCACCGGTAGACGTAACGCCAGTGGTTCATTCCTTTCAACATGAGCACTGGACTTAAGTCTGGGCTAGTCAAACAGAAAACCCCCCTGGTTGGTCAATATATTTTACGGAAACTGAAACCTCCGTTGAACAGCTCATGACGGGACAAGGCTTCGGGTGCAGCTTGGGGTTTGGCCTGGAGTTGGTACCAAAGGCTTACGGGGAAAAGGGCAAGCAACCTGATTTGGGAAGTTCGCAAGCCAGGAGAATCAGACTCTTCACACTGCTCTCGAGGCACGGCCACGGCTCGCTGGCCTTCCCGAAACGACAGTAATAGTGTCCTTGCGGGGTGAGGTGTGGGGACATATTTGGAGTGGCTCGTTTCTTTTTGAGGGTACCCCATTTGGAGTGGCTTGAAAGGGAACCAAAAGGAAACCAGCCATTTTTTGTGTATCCCGATTTTAGGACACACCCACATGAGGAACCCTAACTGTGACTCACTGTTTGTCGACCAGGCTGTTGCTCCCAAAGGGAAAGGGCTTCCTTTTGTCCCGCATATGGGTGTCTCTTTGTGGGGGGACCCTTTTGGTTTTGAACGGACACCAACAGGAAAGCCACCATTTGGGGGGGTCCCCCAAAAAATCGACACACCCATATTAGCGTAAATTTAAATGGGGGACCCGAACTGGTGGACAGACTTCGGGGAGAAAACGACGTCCACCAAGCGCAAGTGGTGGTTCCAACTCCTACTCCAATCGCCACATTCGTCTCCCCAACCCGCGGTTAGAGCACTCGATCCGTGGGAAGCCGCCAAGCCTGCACGCCAAGCATTTTAGGCTTTGGCGTTTGAAACCGCATCGCTTGTGCTTTGGAGCACGTCCCATGTTAGGCTGGTTTTGTTTGACAGACCTCAACAGAAGCATAGGTGTTCGGTTTGGATAGTTTGGTTGAACATGGATAGAGTCCACTTGTTTTATTTTGGTTCTAGGCATTTTCCACCATCTAAGTTCCCAAAATGACCTCTGTACCGCTTGCATCGGAAACGCTTCAGGCTCAGTCGCAGCAGATCGAAATCCTCAGGCAGCAGGCGGCCTGTGCGTTCTGGTGAAGCATGGCGACCTAAAGGGGCCTCGGTTGTTCAGTGGAGTTCCCTTTCTGTTGGGCGGGTTGGGAGCCACAAATGCAATCAACGCCTTTTGGAGTTGGTGGAGTCAACCCTTTCTTAGTTGTCCAGTGATGCCTTTAGTCAACTCCAAAAGGGGTTCCAATTATTTTCTGCCGTCATTTGATGTAATTTGGGCGACTGGTGATTGGCAACCTCGGACCTCGTGAAGCAGGTCCTGTTCATAGGGAAACACATTGTTCGGGTCAGTGAACTGATTATTCTGACTCATGCTTCACCGAGTGCTAGGCGTGGCCCAGTTCTGGCCTGGAAGATGGTTGCAAGTTGCAAACTATGGGCTTTGGGAGAGTTGCAGCGCAAGCTAAGGGTTGGCCTGTGAACATACCAAAAACTTGGGGGGGGGACTACCACAAAAGTGCTAGAACTGCTCAAACAGAAAGAAAGTGGATATGCTATTGCAAAGCCGCCAGGCCGAAGGACTGAAATTTGGAAAAGTTTATGTGGCATTGCCAGGGATTCTCTTCTCACTTGCCCAAAGCCGACCTTCTTACGTCTTGGTTCCATTTTTTGCGATGCTTCGTCATGATTCCTTCGCTGGGCAAGAAAGTCTGTGAGCAAGTTATTTGTTTGCAGCGAACGTATTGAATCACTACTTTTTGACATGAGCCGCTTTAGCACGTATGTGAGGGGTGGGGGCCAGGGGGGTCTTGGAAGTCCATGATGGGTGCACGTGTTTTTGTTGTGGCAGGTGCAGCTTCTCCGCGATGGGCACGTGGCGCCGCACTGAGGGACCCGCTGGGACAGGAGAGTCACTTGATAAGGACCTGGGTACAAGAAGTTGGTGCCCTGTTTTTTTTTGTGGTTTTAAAGGGGACCGAAGGGAAAACCAGGTCCCCAATTTTGAGACAAACCCATAAGGGGCTGACATAATTTCTGGTAGTTTACTCCTGCAAGCATGACTGAATATGGTTTTAGTACCCCTCAACCCCTTCATTTAGGCCCTTGCACCTTCTCACCAACAACAGGGCTCCCCTCTTTCCAATGGAAGTGGACTTGTTTTTTGGGTCCCAAAACAAAGGTGTTCTTCTATAGGAGTGTACCGTGTACCCGTTGGTTGACCAAGCCTTGGCCAAGGCGGAGCCGGAGCCGCAGTTGCGGGAGGCGGGCCGGGCGGCGGGCCAGGCGAGACCGGCGTTCAAGCCCAAAGAACATGAACGAAACCTACAGATTTGACGCAGCAAAAGTTCTCCAAACAAGGGAACCGTCAAAGAGTAGCTTGATAGGAATCCGACAGTGATGGCCAAGCACAGCCCTGGCTCAGCCCTGGCTCAGCCAAAGGTGTGACACCGAAAGAAACGCATCCCTCGTGGTGTCACTTCGGGAACATGAAGGTCGGAGCTTAATTTGGCCGGAGGGACACTCGTATGCTTTTCAATCTGCGTGCTGGGTCGTTCGCGGAAGTGGGGCGACTTCTTAAAGAGGGTTTGGGGTGGATTCAGGTTCGCGTAAGTTTGAGAAAGGGTAGGCTTGGGCTTGACGAAGGTTTGGTGTGGGCTGAGGGAGGCTTAGTATCGGTCTAGGGTGGGTTTGAGGCTTACTTTACCGTATTTGCACATACGGCATTATTCGGCCTTTTGCGAGGACACGGCCATATGTGGTGCCAGGTGGGCGTGTGGTGGCGTAATGAAGTTTAGGGTGTAGGATGTCCTTGGTAGGGTTTGGAGTGGGTGTGTTTTAGGTCTTCGGCAGATGTAGGTAGGCCTAGGATGGGTGAAGGGTAGGTTAGGGTAAAGTTAGCAGTCAGGCTGGGTGGATTGGGGGGCTGCAACTTTGGGTCAGCGCATTGCTTTCGGTTTCTCTGATGGCTGCTTGCGGCTTGGGGCTGTTTTCGCTGCTCTCCGGTAAAAGCTCACACCCAGCCTCAGCCTACCTTTTCCTTAAACCCACTCGATGCCACAACCTACACTTGCAACAAAGCCCGCCCTAAACCTATCCAGAAGAACTTCCCTATATCCGAGCCCGCCACGGGACGCGTTTTGACCTGGCTATAGGGATTCCCAGCAAAAGCCGGGGGGGGGGGGGGAGTTTTCCTTTTATGGGAAGCCGGGGGGCGGTTGTTTTCCTTTTATGGGGCCCTTTTCACCCTCACACAAGGGTGCGCATTTGCCCAGCAAAACAATCCTAAACATCCATGTGTTGGTAAGTGAGGGTGGATTTTAGCGTTTTTGTCGTTTTGTTAGCTCCCGCTCTTGTTGGGTTTATTCCTTTCAGTTGGCAGAGCTTTCTTTTTGTTTCTGAACGGTGCGAAAGGTGTGGCTTTTGTGGTGAAAAGCACCAAGCGCTTTGGAGTGCAACAGGCCTCCGGACAAAGGCGGATTTGGAAGCTGAAGGACACCCTTTTGAGGCCAGCCTCGCACCCGAAGGTGTGTCTTGTTTCGGACTTTTCGCCCCTTGGATGGGTTTAAAGGGAAACCAAAAGGAAGGCCGTCTTTTTGAGGCTCCCCTAATTCCCTTACTACACTTAGTTTTGCACGGTGAAATGCCCTCTGCTCATTTTTGTTGGGGTCCAAATCCCTGCGAGCCATACCCGTTTGGCTTTGGTTCTCAAAAAATAGGCTAACCCCAAAATGGCTTGCCCTGGTACATGGAAAGAAGCACCTAAAAAGTCCCGATCAAACTATATCCTGCGGTCCATATCCTGGCGACCGACCTTTTGACCACCCCACCGCGCAGGAAAACCTGCGGTTACGCCGGGACTTGGAGCAGAGCCGGGCGATGCTCAGCCGCCGAGCCCTCGAGCTTCATTGCCTGCAGGGCTTGCGATTCGGACTCGGCGTCCCTGAGAAATGGAATGAATTTCATGGCGGGTGCTGGGAGAAAGCAGCTTGGCCACTTGGAGGCTTTGGGTCGCTAGACCATCAAGAAAGATCAACTAGCGAAGGAGAGTTATGGAATGACCCGAGATAAACCATCGAATTGGTGGTTTCCTTTATTCGGGAATCTGTAGGTTCATCCTACCCATCGCACCAGCAAGAGGGTTTTTGCTTTTCAGGGGATGGATTTGCAAAAAAAACAACTGAGGGGGGGGGGGGGGCAGGGGGGGAACTTTGTTGGGGCCAAAAGCCAACCCAGCACAAAGTGGGATTCGTGCATTCGCGGAGTCGTTTGCTTGGGGTCGCTTTGCTTGCTGGTGCTCAGTAGCTAACCTGTCCCAAACCTAATCCCCAATGATTAGCGGATTACGGATTACGCGGTTTACGGATTAGAACGTTTTGGTGTAGGACGCCCAACTACATTGTGGGGGAACTGCTTTTCAGCGTTTTAAGGGGCAGTTCAAAAGAACAACACGCTCAGCAACCCGAATGACGCCACACCATGTGAAAGGGCCCCGGCGGGGTCACTTTTCCAGGATGGAGTCGTGGATGCCTGGTACTGGTTCGAGGCTTTGTCAAGCCCACTTCTGTGCAAAACCACTGGGGCTGACCACAAGCCATGCAAACGGACCTCTCCACTCATATTTTTTCAAATGGTGGTGGATTGCTGCTACTGGTTTGGAGCTCTGCAAGGGCCACTTCACTGCAAAAGCAGTTCTGCCTTGCCTCAGTCCTGAGAAGTAGGAAAAAGTAAGGAACTCAGTCCTACTGTAGTACAGTAGGGAATGACCCAGCGAGTAGGGAATGAACCTACGGATTCCCTTAAAGGACACCTTACAGGACATATAGCGGATTGTTTATAGGGATCACTCCAACGCCTTCCCTGCTGAGAACCAGCAAGTTTGCTCACTCAATTCGGAGGTTGACAGGTTGCACCATAGGTGTCCTTTTTGTAGAAAAAGATGGACTGGTTGACCTGGTTGTTTCATGATCTATCAGGGCCATCTGAGTTCAACCAAAAGTACATGGGTTGCTCCCTTTCTTCCATGACCCTTGCCTGACATTTTGTGTAAAAGCCCTCGTGCACCACGTTATCAAACCTTCACTTGGTGGCTTGTCGGGGATAAGCGATTTTTCCCGACTTTGAGCCAAGAGTTTGTCCTAGCCCCGCAAGGCTTCGTACATCAGCAGCAATCAATATTCATCTATATACTTTAGCCGAGTGGATGGAGGATTGGTGATCGACCACTGTGGCCTACAATTCACAACAGATGTTTGCACGCATTCTTCACAGAATGCCCCAACACGTCTTTGCTGAGTCTCGGCCCAGCTCCTGATCCGGGTTATTGCGGGGATAGATTCCTCAGATCGCGGGTTTCAGCGGTTATATACAGGGAAGCTGGTGTCCCAGCATAGAAGCATACTGCATAAGCTATCAAAAGATCCCCTCACGCATTTGCGCGCCATAGTCACAAGAGGTTTTTTTGGGACAAGTGTCCGAGAGATGTAGTTGCGGCTGAGGCTACACAGAGGAGCTCGCTGCTATCATGCGACACGGACGCATTAGTCGCAAGCAACTGAGAACAAGCGTCCACTGTGTCCACAGTCGGCCAAGAACAAGGAACAGTGTCTCAAAGTGGCGGTCCGCTGGGTCTATTTTCTGAACATTCCCTGGCTGTGTGCTCAGGCAGTAGCATTCATTGTTTTTTGGATGCAATGGGCTACTCTTGAGTGGGTCTGTCCTGAAATGAGGATCTTCAAAAGAAGAGAGCAATATGGCCCCCGGCGAGGCCTCCTCTTCTATCCTTCGACGACGCGTTCGTTTGGATATTTTTTTGGATTTGGACCCCAGAAATTGGGTGGGTGTTTCTTTTGGTTTTCCATTTGAAACCACCTAAAAAGTGTTCATTCGAAAAAAAGACCCATTTGGTCAGGGTCTTGTGCACTGTTATGTCGACAAAGGGGAGAAAGTGTTAGGAAGGTTAGCTTCCAGCTAGCATTGCAACCTTCAGTTTCTGAATTGGCGGGGGGAGGGGGGGGGTTTTCGAGGGTATAGCTGTTTGGTCACGGGAATGGCTTCAGCTTTTGGGTGCCCTGCTTCGAGCTGGGTGTGGCTCTCCGAAGGGGGGGGGAAGTTCGCCGAGGCCCGGCATGCAGAAGGTGCTCCAGAAGTTCAACCAAGACGTTCAGCCGTGCAGGATCCGTGGATCGGCCTCAAAAGGAAACTCAAACGGGGGGGGGGGGGGGGGGGCGACACAAACGGGGCGCGCACTTTGTCCTTTGTAGTTTGATCGTTTTCTCGCGGGGGAGGGGCTCCCCAACCCCCCTCTCCCCCCAAGTGCTTTTTAGGGCTGCGCACTTTCTGTTTTCCGAACCGGAGGATTATATGTTGGCTTCTGGGCTTCCAGGCTTTTTGGCTTCTTGGCTTTGCGGCTTCTTGACTTTTCGGCTTTTTTTGGTTTATGCTGGCTTTTGGTGGCTTTTTGGCTTTGGCTTTTGCATCCTCTGCATTCCCAGTTCCTTTCCGGTAGGTGGCGTCTTGGTTTTGCGGGTCTGGCTTTGGCGTTTTGCATCCTGTGCTCTCCCAGTTCCTCTCTGGCAGCTTTTTGGCTTTTGCACCCTTTCATTGGTTTGTGGCTTTGGCTTCCCGCATCCCCTGCATCACCGCATCCTTTGCATCACCAGTTCCTCTCCGGCAAGTGTTGTTCTTTATATTTTGTTTTTGTATGTAATCTATGTATGTATGAATCACTCTAGCCCGCCCTTTCTTGAATCATTGCAGCCACACTTGAATCATCACTTTTCCGAACGGGAGCCGCCCTCCCCCCCCGAAAAAATTGTCCCCCCGCTGCTTTGTATGTCCTACTATGTTCTACTTAAATCATCACTTGTCCGAACATCGTGGGGGGGACCTGCCGCCCCAAACCCCCCCGCTATACTTTCTAGATTTTTACAGAAGGGGGTGTCGAAGGGCTTCGGGGCCAAACTTAGGGAAAAGGGACCTTTAAGAAGATCTTTTTGAACCGTGTTCTAATTTTCCCACTAGTGTGTTTCTCGCCGGAGGCCGGCAACATCCGGCGCAGACTGTGCCTTGGGGCAGGGGATGTGGTCGGATGCTGCAGCACAAGCGCTGTGCGCTTGGCTCCAGCAGCCGCCACAGCTTGGCATTGGTGGCGGCGACAGCCAAAGCCCAAGCCAATGCCACCGAGGCTGAGGCGGAGGCTGAGGCGGAGGCGGCGGAGGTGCCCGCCCAGGAGGAGGAGGACTAAACACGAAGACGGGCTGTTTGAAAAACACTAGGTCGACGCGCCGCCGTTGTCCTGGCGCCAGGACTCTTCTTCTTCCTCCTCTTCCGACTCCTCGACGTCGTCCACGCCGAAGAGCGTGCTTCGTTGACGGTCCGAAGGGGTTCCACTCTCGACCATGGCAGATGGCAGCCCGGGTGCTTGGCCTCGCGGAGTTCTTCGAGGATGGGGAGATGATCTTTCGCCTGCGGCCGGCGCCGCTGCCAAGGACCTACAAGGGCCCGAACATGCCGGAGCTGCGGCGGCTGGTCGACGTCGGCAAGGTGCCGGCGCACGAAGCCAAGTCCCAGCAACAGTCGAGCCGCGCTCCATGTCTTCGTTTGTGTTTCTAATTGGGGAGCAAAGGAGCGCGCTTGCTCCATCGGTTTTTTAGCCCATTGGTGTGTTTAATTGTTTTTCTTACGGACCTCCCCACTACTTTTGAGATTCTACTGGATGTAACTCCTGGACATGTGTTTGATCACGTTTTGGGCGGTTATTTGGCTCTCGACCCTGAAAAAAGGATTCACGGCCATTCGGGGTTTTCACGACCATCTGTGCGTTTCACGAAACTTCACGGATTTTCACAGGATTTCACGGCCATTTGCGGGGTATTCACGGTCATTTCACGAAATTTCACTGTTTTCACGGCAATGTCTGGCCGGACACCGCCTTCACGGCCATTGGGCGGTTTCACGAGTTTGCGTGCAGAGATGTAACTGCACCCTTATTTGAATCATCACTTCTTCGAAATGTGCGCGCTTTCATGCGTGCTTTTCTTTGTCCAGGATTGCGCGTGCGTGATTGTTTTCTCATGGCAGGGTCGGGGGGGGGGTCTGCCCGGCCGCGCTTTCTCCATTGGTGCCATTATGAGAAAGCAATCGAAACGCAGGGGGGGTGCGAGCGATTCAAGCAAGGGCGCGATAAAATATACAAAGCAGCAGGGGGCATGATGTTCGAAAAATCGATGATTCAAGTGAGTTGGAATGATTGAAGAGAGGGCGCGGTAGAATATCCAAGCCCCCCATGATGGTCGGAGAAGTGATGACTCAAGTAGGGGTGCAATGATTAAAGCAATTGCGCGATAGAACGCGCAAAGGCACACATTTGGAGACTGCGCACTCCGCTTCGTACGGCCGCGCTTTCTCCATCGATTTCTTAGCCCATTGGTGCGCTTAATTGTTTTCTTTTCTCATGGACCTCCCCGCTACTTTTAACATGTTTTACAGAGCTGCAATTGCACCCCCAGCATGGACCCCTCCTGCTACTTTTTAGTTTTTGTGCAGAGATGTAATTGAACCCTTATTTGAATCATGACCTAAGGGGGTGCGCTCCATATCTTCGTTTGTTTTTCTCATTGGGGAGCAAAAAGGGCGCGCGCTGTCCCTATCGGTCTGCTTTGGGGGGGGGGGGGGGCGCGGCCGCGCTTTCTCTCCCTTGGTTTTTTAGACTGCCCCTTTGCCCATTGTTTTTTGTATTCTCATGGACCTCCCCGCTACTTTTTAGGTTTTGTTACTCAGATGTAAATGCATCCCTAGTTGGATTGTTTTACAGGCATGTCTAACTGCGCCCGTATTTGAACCATCGCTTCGAACATCATGGGGGGGGGCTGCGCCCCCAACTGCCCCCCCCCTTTCTGTGTTTTTCTTTGTTCTTTTCTGGCTGCACCCATGGGTCTGTGCCCCTTTGTCCAGTAGTGTGTAAAGTGGTTTTCTCACGTTACTTTTCTTTTCTTTTGCAGAGACCCCTTTGAATCATCACTTCTTCGAACATCAGGGGGGGCTCCCCCCTCCCCAACCCTCCGGTTGCGTGTCATTTGTTTTCTCAAGGGGGGGCTGCCGCGCTCCATGTCTTCGTTTGTGTTTGTGATGGGGGAGCAAAGGGGGTGCGCGCTTTGTCTATTGGTCTACTTTGTACAGCTGCGCTATCTCCATTGGTGCGCAGCCTCCGCCACCTCCCCCCCATCCGCCCCATTGTTTTTTGGGGTTGCGCGCTGTCTCCAATTGTGTCTTCTGCGTTTTCTCATTGAGGGGGGCCTGCGTCCCCAACTCCCCCACTTCTGCGTTTTAGGGCCGCGTTTTCTTCAGCCCCCCGACAACCCCCCACTCTCCTCAGCATTCCACGTGAGACGGGCTCGAGAGCAGGTCGTTTTGCATCCTATTCCAGGTCAAGCAGAAGCCTGAACACCAACCAGGTCACTTTGAATCCTGAAACAGGTCGGGCAAAAACCTTGCCCTGGCGTGCATCAAAATCAGACCTGCCAAACAACATTCATCAATTTCCTTCTGGTCTCCCTGAACCCACGAAATTCCAGAAAACATGGATTTCACTAGGCTACCACATTTGTTTTCGCAAAGGTGGGATCCATGGGTCACGTAGAGCGATCGGCTCGGGGCTTGGCTTGGATCCATGGCGCACGAAGTGTGAGCGAGCCATTGCAAAGGTCTGGAGGGTTTCTTTAAGTCAGCCTTCCCTGAATTGGGAGCTGGGGGATGGTTTTCCATTCTCCCTCTACAAGGACCGAGGGTGCATATCTCCAAACAATCCCAACCACCAAGTGGGTAGCTTGACAAAGCTCATGGTTGTGGATACTGGCCACTTTCTGTGATACCAGGGGGATACGCTGTCGACTAAAACAACAGCTAGTCATGCGAATGTGTTCCTTCCAACAGCCATGTCCAAGCTGGTTGAGGTTTGTATTTTGGCGTTTCTCCAATGAGCAGCATGCAGGTGCATTCCTTTGCGTTTCCCTCACCTCCCGCCAAGAACAGAAACATTGGGGTTCCGTCCGTTGATGCACACCCATTCGGTGACCTGTGCTCTCGTTCAGTGTTTCTGAAGCCATAGTCCGGGGGGTGCGCATCCATTGCGCGTCCGTTTCTTTCTACTAATGATGATCAGGACAATGAAAGCAAGGTGCGGTACATGGGTTGCAGTTGATTGCGGGGGGTTGGCTTTTGCGCTCCAGGAGCGACGATGTGAAGGAGCTGAAGGACGCTTCCAGGGAGTCTTCGAAGGAGGTCCCCAACGCTCCGAAGGCCGTGAAGGACGCGCCCAAGGCCGTGCCAAAGGAGGCACCCAAGGCTGTCGCCAGAGTTGTCGCGAAGGCAGTCACCAAGGAGGTCGACATCCAAGATGTCAAGGAGGCCCCAAAAAAGGTCCTAGACATGAAGGATGTGACCAGGGATATGCCGAAGGACACGGATGCCCGGAATGTCGCGGGATCACCCGAGGAGCCGAAGCGGGTTGCGTTTGCGGCAGGGATTTGAGATGGGTGTGGTGCCAATCACGACTCTCCGGTGTTGCTGTTTTTTTCACGGCTGCCTTGACAGCTGCAACTGATATGCTCCGCACGGACGCGGCGGTTGCAGTCAGCTTGACTCGACACTTAGGAGGCAATCAACCCACTTTCTGCCTGCATTACATGAGTCACTGTCTCATTTGTCGCTTTCATTTCTTGTCGCTTGCATCCTTTTCTGCCAGGAGCCTCGAGCCTTGCGCACCTGGCCTGTGGTCATGAGGGCCTCGAATATTTGGCCTGTTTCCAGATGGGTGGCTCGTTGTTTTTTTTCTCTCCGGGATGGGTTTGAAGGGAAACCAAAAGGAGACCGAAGCCCACTTCGGGGGGGTGCCCTAGTTGACATAGACTCATGCACCTTTCATACATCCCACCACAGCGATGGCCATGTTGTGCTTGCTGGTGTGCCCATGGGTGGCTCGACTTTTTTTGAGGGTGCCCTTTTTGGGGTTGGTTTTAAATGGGAAACCAAAATTGAAACGGGTTCCCTTATTTTGAAACAATCCTATTGCGGTTGAAACTGCGGGCACATAAAGGAGCTCCAGGGAACACTAAGGGAAGCGAGGGAAAGCCATCAAAGCAATGCCCCAAACGGAAAACACTCCACAAAGGCCAATCTCAAAATGGGGAAATCCCACAGAAACCGCTATAAACAGCAAATCCCGAACACGGGAAGCACAAAAACACAAAACGCAAATGGGGTTTCCCCTGCATGAGGTCAGGATCGATCGTTGGCCAGGGAAGCTTGCCCGGCCTCCCCATCCCGGCCCCAGCCTCATGGGCTCCAAGTCCTGTCGCTGTCTGGACTTAACTTGGGGACTTACCTTTGGAAACAAAATTGATCGGATGGTCCAACCATCCTTTGCTTCAGAGTAAGATGGAACAAATGCAACCTCAAGCCGAGGTTTCTCCTGTTGCGAAATCCTTGGGTCCATGTCAATCTGGAAGTAGAGTTTGGTGAAGAAGATGCACAATTCATCATGGTTTTATTAGATTTCATCCCCTTCATCTGGTGTACTTGGAAGCCGCGAATCCTGTAAGGGGAGGGCTTTTCACGTGTCAACACAACCTTTACTGGGGGTGGAGGGGTGATGAACCCCTTCAAGAATTCGGACACCTACGGAAACCTGGTAATGTTTCTGCGGAACATGGCCGTGACCCACGTGAGGAGTTGTGAACACAGCACAAATGAAGCCTGTGAGCACTGTATTTTCCTTCTTCTTTTTTCGGGGCATGGGTACTGTAATTATATGTGTGTGTGTGTGTGTCGGGTCCCTGTGTAAAAACACCAGGTTAGCAGGAAAATGATCTCCCAACCATGGATGGAAGCAGCTGAAAGCGTCCACTGCTCTTACCGGCTTTCGGTTGTCAGGGGACTCGAGCACGCACAACAAATCCAACAGCGCAAACAAACAACGGGGTTTCTAAAGGTTCCCCTCCTGTTTGGGGTATCTATTGGTTCTGCCCGATTTTGGGGGGATATGAACATGTTGGCAGCCATTTGCATCGGATCTTTGTTTGCTAAAATGGGATGCCTTAGATATAGTCATGACTGTTCACAATCAGGACCTGGATTGGTGTATACGGTCTCAGCCTTGTTTGGGCCAGGGGAACTGATCGTGCGAAAGCAGGGCAATCAGGAAGACAATTCCATGTTCTCCACATCACAGTGCAACAGTTCTGCTCATTGCTTGAACAGGGTAAATGACTGCTCCAACTGCGCTGATCCTCAAAGTTTCCCTTGGTCATGTGTGGTCATGTGGGTTTCTAATTTGGAGTCAGAGGACTAGTAGCTTCTAGAACATGTTCAGGTATTGTGCTTGGAGCTATGGAGGCTTACGTTCCACCGATGCAAGCTTATAAGGCTTTAGATATCCCTTTTGTAGGTGGTACATAACCTCCATACCTCGAAACCCGATACCTGAAAATGCTCTTGATAGCTGGATGCATTGACTGTCCGCGTTTGAGGTCTGCGCGTCTGCCTGTAGCTGCAGTGATTGAGGACGCAGCTCACTCGCAGGGATCAAACCGGGCGGACATTTTGTTGTCCGTTGGGTTCTTGTTTGTTCTCCCCTTGATTTCCCAAAATACGGGACACTACGCATGTGTGTGTGTGTGCATGTTCCTTGGTTCCGCGTCAAAAAATGAATGACACCGGCTCAATGTTGGGCTTGGCCCACTCTCTAAATCCGATTGTTAAATATTTGGTGCCCTCCTAATTACTCAACTCCACAAAGAAAGCCCTTTCTGCCAAGGTGGGCGACAGATGTGTTCTGGGTTCTGAAGCGCATGCGCCTCAATTCGACTCAATCTGCCTCGCGCTGAAGGAGCCCCCCGTGCGGCGAGTGTCTTCAGCAACTACTGCGCCGGCGCCTCAAGCAACCCCTACGCTTCGAGGGCATGCGTGACGGTGTGTTCTTTGTGGCTGCTAGGCATGGTCATCAGCCCACTGGCTGCTGATGCTACTGCTGCTGGCTGGCAACATTTGTGGGTGAATCAGTTTTCCCTCGTGCATCCCTTGCATGCATTCGTTGGATCTCGGAGTTACGCTGTTTGCAACATGAAACTCGATGATCGGGGGCTCCCCAAAAGCAAGGCAGTCTTACACCCTGTCAGCTTCCACTTGGAGAGAGGAGAGGGTGTCCAAAAGATTGTTGTTTACAAACACATATCCCTACTCCATCACTTGTTTGCATTTGTATGGGGTAGTCTTCTGATTAGCATCAAATCTTTTTGGGGGTTCCACGTTAATTTGCAGAGTATCCCACAGATTCCTTTTGAAGGTATGCCGTGCTTCCCGTCCCCGCCGAAAACTGCGAGGAGAGCAGACGTGCGGCCCATGGCGACTTCTCCCGGGCGCAAAAAGGCGGCGGGGTGCCCGGGATTTGACGGGGAAGATCCATTTGAGCTCGGCAATTCGGGGGGACCAGCGCACCCCAATTCTTCCTTCTGGGTCAACGAATGATACCTGCAGCTTTGTCCTTTGTTAACATGGTGATACTAGTAAGTGTCAATCAGTGTCCCCTATACCATGGGGGAAATGTACATTCAAAGCGTGGTTCCTTTTGTTTTGGGTCTTAGGTGTTGATACGGACATATATTGAACCTTGCCAGTGTTCGGGTGGCCCCTCAAAGGCTCAATGTTCTCTTTGGTGTTTCATCTGCAAAAGGATCCAAATTTTGCTGGCAGACGCGCACAACAGCAAACAGGCAGTGGTTCCTGTTTATAAGCATCACATTGACATGTCCGGCCCTTGCGTTGAATCTATGTGAGAATTGGCTTCTTTTGTCTTCCCCGAATTTGCTTCATGCCGCAAATACATTTTCCCAAAGCACAAGGGGAAAAGTACAGCAGGCAAGTCTTTGGTTTAGGCAGCTTTGGGTTTACAAGTCATTAAGTTATATACCTGGTTTAGTTTCAATATAGTTATTCACCTCCCAAAGTTCGATCGGCTGCCGACATGAACATCTTTGGACCTCACGCAAGCAGAGGGACTTTAAAACTCAAACGAGTAGGGCAAACAAGTAAGCCGAAACCAAAACAATGTAGAACCACTGTTTGTCAGGCTTATAAGAGGAACGCATGTATTCAGGAGTGGTTTTTTGGCAGTCCCACTAAAACAGTACCCAACCATTTACAGCAAATGGGTGTAGATTCTGGGCATATCAGTTAGGGCAGGCCATGCGCAACTTTTTCCGGACTCAAAGGTCTAGGGTCTACCCTAGGATTTTTTGCATTTTTTGAATAAGCGCACCAAAACAGCCATTTTAAAACATTTTTTGAAACAGTCTAAACACATTTTGATAAATATTTTTTTAGTACTGCATACCAAAACAAAAATTGAATTATTTTTTGAAAAATTCCATACACCTAAACATGTTTATTTTCAAAAACACACATTTTCCAAAATATTTTTAGAAAATATTTTTCTCAAAAGAGATAAATATATATATCATTTTAAGAAGAATTATTCAATAAGAAACAACATTTTCAATAATTCAATGAGAAGACAAATAATTAATCATTTTTCAAATTTTGGATATTCCGGAGTTGCGCATGGCCCACCTTGTAGGATTTTATCTTCAATATATAAAACGCTATACTTACATTATAATTATAACATATAAGGGTATAAATGTTATTATTATAGTATGGTTATATTATTCAGGTTCATCAATAATTAGTATAAACCTTATGTGTTTTACTCCTACAATATTCATTGTATTCCTTTCATTATCAATATTTCTACATATTGTTGCAACTGCGTATTCCATTACATCAGTTATATTATCTTGGTCTATAGAACCCATTAAGTGTCTACCACTATGAAAATCAAAACCATAACTGCTATATTCATCATCCTCAAAATAATTAAAATGATGAAACCTTACACATAAAATTACATCAACTATTATTATTGCTTTATAACTTTCATATCCTACATACTTATCTAGTAAGCTATCTATTTCATCCCCTTCTTTCATAACTATATCTTCAATACTTTCAATGCTTAATGGAACCTTCCTAGAAACATAATATTGACATATTTGTCTCTTTACTTTATCACCATCTAAATTATTACAGTGCTTTGTTTCCCTTTCTATGTCAGTTTTGTCAATTTTATATCTTCTTTGTATTCTCTTCAATGTTTCATTATGATTATGCTTTATTTTCATATATTCTGGCTTGCCATATTTATAGGACATAATATTATTAATAACTTCAACTGGTAGTTTTTGAAACTCCATTTCTATTATAATATATATATAGTGTTTATTTCTTTAAATACTTTTTTACAAGAAATAAAATTAAATATTGGAATATACCTATAACATATAATATTTTACATGTTATAATCATAGCATGGTTATAATCAAAATCATTCCCCGATTCTATCAAAATAATTCCCCGATTCTATCAAAATCATTCCCCGATTCTATCAAAATCATTCCCCGATTTTATCAAAATCA